TTGGAACTGCTATTTTCTGCTTCTGGTATCCTCCTTCGAGATCGCGAACAGCCTTTCGCGTTCGCGATACCTTGCTGCTGACCACCTCGAAATCCTTCTTCGCGTTCGCGTCCAACGCTTCGCGTTCGCGAAGCCTTGCATTTTCCTTCTTCGTGTTCGCGTCCCTCCCTACGCGTTCGCGTAGGTTCCTGCCCTCCTTCTCCGCGTTCGCGAACTCACCATCGCGTTCGCGATGAGCAACCTAGGCAGCCTCAACTTTTCTTCTTCGCGAACGCTGTCCTTCCTTCGCGTTCGCGATGCACAAATGCCTGGGCGGACAGAATATATTCCAAAATCGAGGGTTTCACCATTTTTATCATATTTTGACTTGTGGAGCTCGGTTTTGAGCGATTCTTTGAGGGGTTTTCACACAAATCGATTGGGTAAGTGTTCTTCACTGAGACTTAAATATATTACATGAATTAGTCTTTATTTTTATCATTTAAATTGTGTTTTTAGTTAGGGAAAATGTTGGTTTTTGAAGAAAGTTTCCAAAACGAAATTTCATGATTTGAGGGACGAAATGGTATCGGAATTTGGTAATTTTTGTATGATTGAACTCATATTGGAATGGGTATTCGGATTTTGTAAAATTTGTCGGGTTCCGAGGTGCGGGCCCGGGGGTCGACTTTTGGACCTATTTTTAGATTTTGTCAAAGATTGAAACTTTATGATCCGGAATAGTTTCTTATGTGTTTTGTTTGTGCTTTGAAGTTAATTTGGTTAGATTTGAGCCGTCCGGAGGTCTTTTCATCCGAGAAGTGCATTTTTGAGTATCGATTTGTCGTCTTTGAGGTAAGTATCTTGCCTAACCTTGTGTGGGGGACTTCTCCTTAGGATTTGAGTCTTCTATGTTGATTGTAGTTCGTGTACGCGAGGTGACGAGTGCGTGCTCGGACTTATTTGTGGAAAATTGGCCTTTTAGGGTTCTTACGTCTTTATATTCACTGTGTAGGAATGCGTTCTTGACATGACTGAGTTTCCTATTTAATTGTTTTCACCTCTACATGCTTAATTAAAATTAATTGCTTCATGATTCACTCTTATTGCCTGATTGACTCCTAATTGATTTGACCGAAGAATTTCTCCTCGCCTATTGTCATGCTATCTTTTCATAGTTGCTTATCTTATTTGAGAATTTTATTACCCCTTCTGAAATTGTTTGGTCTTAAGTGAAGCTAAGATCATCTTCCCTTAATTGAATTTTCGAATATCCTAAAAATTTGTCCAACCTTGAAAAGAAGTTTAGATAATTTATATCTTGTTGACTTGCATTTATTTGGGACTACTTGACTCGTGTTGATTTCCTTGTTATTGACTTATATATTGTGGGATCGTTGCTACATGTTAGTTTTCCCCGTTGTTGAACTATTCCCTTTATGCCAGCATTCTTTTCTGTGGTTACTCCTTGTGAGCTGGTTCTGCCGTTTCCTTGCGATTTACAGTCCTTAAGTTGATTTACTTGTCTTACCTTGTATTATTGTCCGCCAAAGTCCATCCTATTGCCCTTTTTCGCTTTTGAAGCACCTCCACAGTGGCCTCAACCTGCAAGTTAGTAAGGCAAGAAGAAAGAATAACTGGAAGAGTAGAATTAGAGCCCAAGAATTCATACCTGAGGTGTGGAGGAAGTGGTTTAAACTCCAACTCCGGTGGCTCCTCAATTGATGGCTTGGTTGGCGGAGTTTTGCGATTTTCAAGATCCAAAGATAGTTTCCTAGGCTCATATGAATATGAACCCATTCCATGCAATGCATTCACGCACTCCACTCTACCGGCATCATCATTGGCATCCATGTTAAGAAGCACGGCTTCAAGAGGATCTTCAACATTAATCAAAGAACTTGTGTCATCCACTATCACCGCCGTGACAATGTCCACAAATGAACACACCTCCGTACTATTGGGTTGCCTCATTGATTTGCACACATGAAAGTTTTCCCGCCTGTCACGCGGGTGACCCGGGTTCGATCCCCGGCAACGGCGCCAAAAGGTGATCGCAACGGACTCAACCTTAGGAAGAGTGGGCGCTAATACTTTTACCCAATAGTGGTATCGGGGTCAATTTTCACAGGGAGCTAGAAAGGGAGTTGGATATTTGCTTAGCCTAGAAATGCGTATTTACTTCTAATTGATCTTCTAACATTTTTGGGTTTTTATGATTATCAACTACAATTTAACAACTACTAATTATAACTAAATTATTCTAAGATATTAATTCTAGGTTGTATGCAAGATAGAGAAAGACACTAGGGTCGTGGCATTTACCTAGGTGGTCAACTAACGGGTAGAGATTCCTAATACAAGAATGATGATTATGGGCTTATGCTATAACCGTTGCACGATTGCACTCACTCTCACACCTCTCGGTAGAAAGAGTGATTTTGCCCAATTGACTCTCTCGAGACCAATTGGGTAGGCCAACAAGCCCAAGCAACTTAGGGTTCAAGTTGGGTAATTACTCTCTCGAGGTTTAACCCGTTAATTGGGACTACCATTCTCATGGGTCCATCCCAATTCCTTGTTGGGTTAATTTTGGAGTCATAGACACTCTTTCTCAAGAAGAGTCAAGACCCACTAAGCTAGATTTAGTGTTTGCAACCACCAAATCCTAGTTAAATCATAAAATTAACCCAAATAGCAAACACCCAACATCATTCAAGCATTAAACAATCACACTCATTAATTACCCACACTAGGGTTGAGCCACAACCCTAGCTAATGGGTTTAGCTAGACATAATAGCAACAGAAATTGAAGAAGTAGTAGATAAAATCAACATATTAATTAACTAGAATGTTAATCTACAAGAATCCACGATAAAACAAGATGAAAATGCCCAAAATAGGCTAAAACTTGAGTCTCACGAGTGCAGCTGCTATCTGATATCTAATGCTTAACCTAAAAATAATAAAATATTCTATTTATACTAGGCTAGAAAAACTGGACAAGAATACCCATGCGGGGCTGGCGCGGACCGCGCAGAAATGCAACGCGGCCGCGTAGGGTTCTTGGTCCACGATCACTCACTTCTGAAGCTGGGGACGCGGACCGCGCAAAAAGGTAGCGTGGCCGCGCAGGCTAATGGGCGCGGACCGCGCAACAATGAAGCGCGACCGCGTGGAAGGAGTTTGGCAATTTGACACCTCTCTGAATCTCCACAAGCGCTGACCGCGTAGAAAGGAGCGCGGAACGCGCATGGTTACCCTTGAAATATAAACTCTCTGAATCTCCTAGCGCGGCCGCGCAGCAAAACAGTGCGGTCCGCGCTAGGTCCTCTTGTCCCCACTTCAATGATTTTTGACACTTGAGCAGGTTTCACTCCGTTTCGAGCCGATTTTTGACTTTTGTCATCTTGTCGCTCAAACCTGCAATCAAGCGCACTTTGTAAGCATTCTGGGTCTATTTTATGACAATTCATACATAAAGCATAGGCAAGTATGGGCATAAAGTGTGTTAAAATCACAGTTATCAAGTGCGCCAACTAAGTAAGTAATAAAAGTAAAGGCAGCTGAGCGATAAGAAAACATGTAAATACACAACAAAATGCTACAACGAGGCAGTGTAAAACCAGCACAATACAATAAAACAGTAAAAGCTCATAAAAACTTCTTAGTTCAGAAAAATCTCTTTAAAACATCTTTCAGCAGTTCAAACGAGTGAATGAAAATAAGTAGAAAAGATAGAAACCCAAATCAGCCCCTCGGGCAAAATACCAACAGAACCAGCCCCTCGGGCTATCTCACAATCACTCGTACCAGCCCCTCGGGCAATAACATGGAACAACCTCAGCTCCTCGGGCTATATCACATCACAAACTGGGTACCCGCACTCACTGGGGGTGTACAGACTCCGGGAGAGGCCCCTTACGGCCCAAGCGCAATAACGAGCCATCTCGTGGCATAATCAACAGGCTCTCGGCCTCATATAAATCACAAGCCACCTCGTGGCATAATAAATTGGGCCCTCGGCCTCTCATATATCACAATCAGTACCACATGCTGCGGCGCGCAGCCCGATCCCATAGTATCTTCACAACACAGGCCCTCGGCCTTACTCAGTCAGAATCTCACAAGCCACACGGGCAACAGTAAAATATGACGCTCAGCCCAAAATATCATTTAAAATATCAAAAATGAGTAAAGGTGGCTGAGTTATGAAAAACAGTAGGATATAACATGACCGAATACAAATACTAAAGCAAAACAGTGAGGAATAGTAGTAAAAATCCTGGCACGAGGCCCAAACATGGCATTCAGCCCAAAACATGATGATAGCAAACAGTTTTCGATCAAATACACAGATAAACAGTCATGCGGGACGGACTAAGTCACAATCCCCAACGGTGCACGACCCCACGCTCGTCATCCAGCGTGTACGTCACCTCAAAATATCACAACGATGTAAAATCCGGGGTTTCATACCCTCGGGACAACATTTACAATCATTACATACCTCTATCTGGTCCAAACTCTAGCCCGCGATGCCTTTGCCTCTCGTCTCAGCCTCAACTCGCGTCAAATCTAACCAAAATCAGAATCATGACGTCAAAATATGCTAAGGGAACGAAGCCCACGCGAAAATAATCAATTTACGACACGAATCCCGAAATTAACCAAACCCGACCCCCGGACCCACGTCTCGGAATCCGACAAAATTAACATCAATGGAATCCTTATCTTCCCACGAGTTCTTGCATATCAAATTTACCAAAATCCAACCACAATTGGCCCCTCAAATCCCAAATTCTAGGTCTCCAATTTCAAGCCCTAGTTTCTTCAATAACTTCCCACAAATTCCATGAATTTCAAGCCTAAATCAATGAAATAACACCATAAGAACGAGTTTTATGATCAAAATTCTTACCTCAACGAAGTTCCCTCTGATTCTCTCTTCAAAATCCCCCAAAAGCTCCAAAAATCGATTTAAAATGGTGATAAAAGTCTGAAAATTGCGAAGGAGGGTTTATATAGTTTCTGGCCCAAGATTTTCGCACCTGCGGCCCTTCCGCCACTTCTGTGATATCGCTTCTGCGGTCAAATGCACCGCATTTGCGGTTTTCACTAATGCGCTCATTTTCGCATCTGCGATCAAGAAGCCGCACCTGCGCTACCGCAGGTGCGATCGAGTAGCCGCTTCTGCGGTCCCAGCCCCACATGGCCAATTCCACATCTGCGACCACCTGGGCGTTTCTGCGGGTCCGCACCTGCGGTCCCCCTAGCCGCAGGTGCGGTTTTGACAGCAATGGGACATGTTCAGCTGCCAAAAACTAAACTCAAATCTTCCGTCAACCATCCGAAATCACTCCGAGGCCCCCGGGACCTCAACCAAAGGCAAAAACAAGTCATATACCACTATTCAAACTTATTCCAATCTTCAAAACACCTCAAACAACATCGAATCAACCAATGATAGCACTTGCCTTTGGGCTTGTTCACACCAGCCGCACTACCAGGTGCCAGAACCTTTTGAGCCTTCTTCTTTTTCTTTTTGCCTTTCGACTTAGAAATTGAAGGTTTCGAAACATTTAGTGCCACAACTGGAGCTTGTTGTTTGATAATAGATTCTGCCACTTGCAGCTCATTCAACAATTTCGCTAGTGACAAATCCATTTTGTTCATATTATAGTTCAAGCGAAACTGTTGAAAACTGTCAGGCAGAGTCTGCAGGACCATCTCAACTTGAGACTCCTTATCAATCACAGCTCCAAGGACCTCCAGTTCATTCAGAAGACTCATCATCTTCAGAACATGGTCCCTGACCGATGATCCTTCAGCCATTTTCGTGTTCAAAAGGGCTTTCATGGCTGTCTGCTTAGCTGCCCGATTTTGCTCACCGAACATCTCTTTGAGCCTTTCGAGCATATCATAAGCAGACCCTATGGACTGATGCTGATGCTACAAAACATTCGCCATAGAGGCAAGAATGTAGCATCGCGCCATCTCATCAGCCTTAACCCATTTGTCATAGGCCTTAACCTGATCATCCGTAGCATTTTCAGGTTTTTCTGGGCACTCCTCAGAGATTACAAATTTGTAACCTTCGGCAGTTAGGACAATATCAAGGTTCCTTTTCCAGTCAACATAATCTGGTCCTTCTAGCTTGTTTTGGTGCAAAATTGAGGTAAGTGAGTTGAATGAAGACATGGTTAATCTGGGAGATATTCACATTAAATAGATCATTAGTTATATATTAAGAATGATTAAATTCAAAATTACACATTACACATATAACCATGCTCAGTGAACAGTTAGATTCGTTAGGGAAACTTAACTATTCATGCAAAATACATGAGTGATGTCAGATATTAACCCCAAAAATTTAAACAGGACCAACTCAGATGGAGAGTAAACTGTTAATTTAAGATAGGTAAATATCACTTTTTATAAAACTCTAGTTTCATTCAATCAACATGTAACTCAGTTGGAGAGTTAATACAAGTAATGAAATAACTAGAGGCTAAAGAAGAACACAGTAATCATCTATAATGAATTTATCCGATGTGGAAGAAGACCTATGTCAACATATAAATTCATTATATTACTGTAAAACCCGTTTAATTTAGGGTTTAGGACCTAAAATCGCGTGTTTTGCAATTTTTGGCTCTGAAGGTTGCATGTACTGCCGCGGTCCTACCGCGGTTACGCCAGGACCGCGGCTAGAGTGACCTTCAGAATCAGAGGCAGTGTTCTGCCGCGGTCCTACCGCGGTTACGCCCGGACCGCAGCGATACAAGACGTGATTTCAAAAAACGTGTTTTGACAGGATTAATCCAAAATTATAGAATATCATACAAAACATTCATGTTTTTAACATAGAATAATTATCCAAAACATGTATCAATGAATAACACGTTTTAATTTTTTTCTATGTATGTTGTATTACATTATCTAGTTAGATGTAAGACGGCTCTGATACCAATTGTTAGAACATGCGCAGCGAAAGCAAGCATACAATCAGGCATCAATTACATGTAAACCAGACAACGCAATAATAACGAGATCAGGAACACTAACCTCTTGAAATAGTTGCACAAATTCTCCAAGCAGCAAGAATCCAGGGCTGTAGTCTTCTGCTATATGCCTAGTAAAGGGCAAGAACAATACAACTCTAGGTTAGTTAACAGGAGAAACCTGTCTCCTTTTTATACACGAAATTAAGCCCTAAAATTAGGCTAAAAAACGTGTGGAGTAGGATTCCATAAGTAGAATCCTACTCCAACTCAAAAAGGTAACTTTTCTCCCAAGCTACTTTTTACCCAAGTTTGTCCAGGTTATTACTAGGTATAGCAGGGACCACAGAAATAATAAGAGGCTACTAATTACAGTACTAATTCAAAGTAGACAAGAATTAGATCCTACTATAATTAATTGCAATTTATTCCACTAAAAACTGCAATTGAACTCCTCAATATGAATTTCAAAAATTCATCAACACTTATTTTAACTCCCCATGTTAAGATTTTAAATACCAGTTAATTAAATTAAATCACTGAAAATTTAATTCAATCAACTAATTAAATCCTTTATAATTCCGCTTAAACTATCTCATGTGACGGATACAAAATCCACCGGCCGGGTTTTCACATGAAAACTTATAAGCTTATATAAAGGGGTATTACCAAACCCAAAAAAATAAGTCATGGATTCTATCAACTAATTATTATTCACAAATATTATTTGTTATTGTCCAATTTATTAGGCATATACTAACTCTAAATAGAGTCATACCTTTTGATAAATCAAAACAATAAACAAATTACATTGATCATAATAATTATATTAAGATTAGGAGTATAAGCTCATTTAGTGAATTAGAGAAAGTGTTTTATATGTATTCAGTACAAAAACACATTTTCTCTACTTGGTCCGTTCAATATACACTGAGTATACTAGCACAAGAAGTTGGAGTAGACTTACTCCATAATCAAGACAAATTATACAATAATCTTGTGCTACAATCATCAAGATATTTTGTCCGATAATATCTTCGATTGTGAACATAGTTTATTAATTATGAGAACCAACGATTTAATCTTCTGTGTATGAGCTAAGACTCCATACACTAAATTGTCTACTACATAATCAAAAGGACACACATGTTACAAATGATCTATTTAAAATAGTGCTTTATTGAATTGAATAAATTAAATAAATAATTATTTCATAAAGAATAAAATATAATACTATGTCTAAACCGCATGATTAATAATATATTCCAACACAGTCTTATTCGCATTTTCGATGTTTGTCGGCGGGTTCTGTTTGCTAGTTGAACAACTTTTGTTGCTGTACCAAGCTTTGGTTTGAAGGTCCTTTATAAATACACGGAAAAGTTTTCACAGAGGTTCTTTCTTTTCCAATCTCATTTTATGGTTGATTTGCTTTGATTTCTTATTTATACTGTTTGAGCATTTGGATGCCTTCACATTGGTCGATTCTATGTTTATTAGTTACTCTCTTCTATTAAATAATTTTATTTGAGGCAAATCTTTACATTGTTCATTGAATTGCATTGGGCTATTTAGTAAACTTGATTTTAAAAGTTTATTGGTCTGACAAAATGGGTCACGAAGGAGCAGATTCATATTTGGGCCGTTGAATGGCTTTTAAATATCAAATTTGGTCTTTGATTTAGTATGGAAAGATTTGAACCCTAAATTTCATTCCTATACACAATATGAAACTTAATTACAAAAAATGTCCTTGTTTACAATATTACCCGACCTAGACATATTTGTCCTACAAAATCTATACAAATCATTTAAAAAGGAATCCTTTCTACTGTAACATTCCTTTTTTAGGAGCGAGAATTTGGGATAAAAAAGGATTCTACCGAGATTTTTTGCAACGCATTAGTCGCCATTAATTAAGCCTGAAATTGTTCCGTTTATCTCACAATTTCGATACTCTGTTTTACGAATACTCTATTTTTCACTGTATATTATGGTATTACAAGAAAAATTGGATCAATTATCTACAATTGTACTGAATCACGCGCAATAATGTCGAAGCTTCAGCTAAATGGTAATTGGGATAACTTTGGGAGATACAGGGATTTTCATATCGACAGGATTGTAATCAGCGAAGATGCAACTTATAGCCAATTGATTTCTACAATCGCAGAGCATCAAATGATCGATATATCAGAAAAAATAATCGAAATCAAATACATTGTCAACGAAAATTGTCCGCCAATGAAAATTAGGAACGATATGGGAGTTCGAGTATACATGGAGACGAAAAAGGAAAACAAGAGCTTAGGAATGTATTCGCTATGTATAACAGTGTGGGATTTCGATTTGGAATGCAGTATCTCTATTTCGAACGCAATTGCAGGTTTGATCTGTTATACAAGTGGTGAAATTTGTTTATATATCTTGTGTTCTACAATTTTTCTACAATATTTCTACAAAATAACTACATAACATGTGTAGATCAAAATAAGTATTGAATTTCATTTGTTCTACAATATGTCTAAATAAAAACTACATAACATGTGTATATCAATAGTTATGAATATGTAAGTCTTGAATTTCATTGTTCTACGATTATTCTACAAAATATCTACAATATATATCATATATGTATTTAGCTTTAATTGATTGCAGGTTCATCTGGAACACTGAAGTTGATTGATATGCGAACATCTCCGGCGATAATGGAATATGAAAGTATAATCATAACAGAAAATACACCAATTGTTATTGAAGTAGGCCAAGTATACAAAGACAAGCAAACAATTGCTAGTGCAATAAAGCACTATTATGTCATGAACAAGTTCCAATTTAGGGTGGAAAGGTCTAGTGCTAGAAGGTAAGAACAGTTCAATGGTCAAAAATCATGTCTTTGTTTAATTTGTAGTTTATTTTTTATTTTTTTGTTCTTCAGTGTTTGTAATATCTTTGTATACAAATTGTAGATAATTTGTAGTTTTTTTGTATATAAATTGTTAAATGTAATTAAACAGCCTATTTGTTGTGTATTTACATTTTTCATACCATTGTTTAAATTGTTTTTATTCTGTAGCTACTGCCTGGTATGTGTTGGGGAAGATTGTACATGGCACTTCAAGTCCACCAACATAAATGATTCAACAATATTCAAGGTTCGAAAATTCAACAGCTTGCACACATGTTCTTTGATGGACAATACATACATACAACGCAAACCTACTGTCATGGTAGTAGGTAGCATGGTTATACCAAAATATATTGATCCTAAGACAGTTTACACACCAAAAGACATACAAACTGATATGTTGCCTGAACGCGACGTGAACTTAACATACATGCAAGCTCGGAGAGCAAAGGAAAAGGCTTAGGAATTTTTGAGAGGTCATCCTGCCGACTCCTACAGTCGATTGCCTAGTTATTTGTATATTCTGGAGAAGACTTATCCGGGGTCGGTAGTTAAATTGAAGAAGACCGACGATGACTGTTTCTTGTATGCATTTGTTGCGATTAGTACGTCAATCAATGGTTGGAAATATTGTAGGCCAGTTGTAGTAGTATGGGACCTTCTTGAAGTCAGCATACAGTGGAAAATTCTAACAGCTAGCACAATGGATGCAGCAGGTATTGTAGATTTATTGTAGATATATTGTAGAAAATTTGTTGTTTGTATATATTTTTCTTTATCTACAGTTTTATGATGGAAATTGAATTCCTTTTTGCCACATATGATAGGTAGCATATTACCACTGCATATGTTGTTGTTGATTCAGAAAATGAAGCATCATGAAAGTGGCTTTTTGAGCAATTCAAACATGTATATGGTGAAAAACCTAATATGTGTGTTGTTTCTTATCAGAATGAGAGTATCTTGAAGGCAACATCTATTGTTTATACCGGCATGCCACATTATTCTTGCATGTGGCATATTTGGACAAATATAAGGTCAAAGTTCAAGAAAGGTCATCTAAAGTTAAGCAAATTGTACTTTGCCACGGCACGATCATACACGCTTGATGAAATTAATAAAAGAATGTCAAAGATTGAAGAGATCGACACGTGTGTTAAAGCATACTTATACGATATTGGCTATCACATATGGTCTCGAGTACATGCTACGGTGAATAAAACTTGGACTATGACATCAAACATTGTAGAGTCATTGAATGCGGTAACAAGAGATGCAAGAGAGCT